CAAGGAATTGAGTGATGCTTACGATTTCTTCATAGAGCAAGATGATTCCCATCTTATAAATGGTCATCATCTTGCTCAAAATGATGGCAAGTTTTGGTACATGAATGGCATAAAGCAACTAAAAGCAATAAGACCAATTGGAAAAAGGATGATGTCACTTTCGTGCAGTGAAGCAGATGTAGAACGTGTAATATCTGAATTGCGAAAGACAAGAAATTCAATGAACGAATCATGCAAAGAAGAATATGTAGCATGCCGCTTCTTCATCAAGTTGAATGATGATCAATTTGATATTTGATTTTGTTTTTTAATAAAATTTATTAAATAATTTGTTTTAAAAAGTATTATTTTTATTCGTAAAGATATTAGACAGAAGGTGGCCAGCCTAATGTCTATCAATCTTTAATATTAGTAGTAATTTCCCGCATTTCTGAATGATGATTGATTAGCTTTGTTGTTATTGATGTAAAACTGGATAAGTATTAAATAATTATATTAATCTTGGCCAGGGGACTGCTGATGGCCAGTCAGCAGCGGCCACTATGAATCATTATAATTATTTAATACCTAAATTGAGGTAAAAAGCAATAAGACTTGCCGAGCCTCATGCCCCTACCTCATATAAATAGAATCACACTTTAGTGAATCAACATCTATAAGAATGAAGTGTTTTGAAGCTGAAATAATATTGAATAGAAATTAATTTTTTCTGAAATTTTGAATGAAATTATGGGAAATAAAAAAATTACTAAATATTGTATTCATACAAATATATTATTTTAAAGGAAAAATAGATGCTGATAGAAACGATGAAAATTTTTGAAAACTTTACAATTAATTTATGTTCGTTAACCACAGAGCTTGCAATCCAAAGCTCACGTTAGACAACAAGAGTCATGAAGTCTCATACTAAGGGATATCCAACATATATTTTAATAATCTAATGTTTGTGACAAATATTGGGAAGAAACGTTTTTCCCGAAAAATAATCGTCTTTTGATGTTTTTCCCGAAAATCGTTCCGATCATGACGATAGACCTCCAGGAATATGAAATATTTGTTTTTGTTAAATTCTATGTATGCAATTAATCAGGGTATACCTTGAAGTTATTAGATCTAAGCAGATGAAGGATCTTTGTTTTTTATATAAGATTATATAATTTGATTATATTGATTTACAATGTAAATCTGTAATATTTTATATAATTTGTTGTTTTGATCCATTACACAATATTGAATTAGTTCAAAACTCTATATTAATATGTTTTGATTGCGCATATTCATGATAACAGAATTTGTAATAAAATCAAGGTTAAAATTTAATTACATATACTATGGAGTTATATATTATGTGAAGTAAATAAGATAATATAAGAAAATAAAAAATTATATAATTATAAAAGATCAAAAGAGTCTATGTTTTTCCAACCTGAGTGTTTGTATGTAGTTATAGATTTGAAATGTAATATAATGTATTTCAATAGTTTTAAGTCGAAAATCTAATATGATAATAAAAAGTGTAATTCTAGCATTTTTATGAGACAAACAGGTCAGGTGTGTGGGGCCTCCAGGCACTTCGTGCCCTCTAGCCCTGAAGATGTTTAGTATAACTTTGTCCGGACAAGTAAGGGTCTATCGTCGCTACAGGAAAAGTTACAGGCGTTCCAAGGAAGTATACTTTGAGAAGCCTTCTTCTGGGTCGAAAACATTATATAATGTGTCGCTTTTCACAAATTATATATGTTTTCATGTTTTGTCACTTTTCTGTCACTTTTCAGGAAAAAAACATTTTTATTATTATATATAAATGAATTTTACAAAACCACCGTTACCGTTCTTTGGAAATAAGAGTAAATGTAAAGATATTCTATTGAGAGAACTTAAGAAACTACCGAATGGTCTAACATTTGTAGATTTGTTCGGTGGAAGTTTCTATATATCCCATTTGTGCCATACAATATTCCCAGACTCAAAGATTATATGCAATGACTTCGACAACTATATGGACCGTCTCAAACATATACCAGACACAAACAATATATTGAAGAGTTAAAAGAAAAGATACCTATAGGTAAGATGGAACGTATACCATTAGATAAGAAAAATATTGTGAGAGAGGTTTTGAAAAAAGCAGAATATATAGACTGGGATAGTATATCTGCTAGACTATTATATAGTGGTGCTATAAGAGTTCATGACATTGAAACACTTATGTCAAAAGTTTTATATCTTAACTATACAAATGTTTTCAAAGAGGACATAGAAAAATATATTGAGGGTATAGAGTTTGTGAGATGTCATTGGACAGAGTTGTATGAAAAATATAAAGACAAGGAAAATATTTTCTTTATAGTGGACCCGCCGTTCTATAACACATGGGATTTTCAATACCAAGTAGACTGGACTTTGAGAGACTCTTTAGAAACTTTAGACGTTATACATAACCATCCATGCTTTTACTTTACATCCGATAAAAGTGGTTTGGAAACCGTTATGAGATGGTTAGAGGACATACATGACTATGAGTTTAGATATGACAAGATAGAATATGAGAGAGGTCCTATAAACCGGAGAAAGTGTCATAACAAAGAAATTTTACTAGTAAGTAAATGTGGTTTGAAATAGGACTACTTGTTTTAGGTTTTTTCCATTGTGTCATTTATTTATTTGACGTGGCAGAAAGATATAGAGAATATGAAGATGAACCAATGTCTGCAAATGTTCAGCATATGTACTCGTAAGAGATATTTTTATCTAATATTAAATGGACGCACAGAACTTAGCGAATGCACAGCAACCTGGACAACCAAACCCAGAGAATATTCCAAATGAAGTTAGAATACAAACTGCAATGGCAAACTATGGTCAAGTGCCAACAGATGTACAAATGCAAACTGCCATGTCAAATGACGCTGCGTTAGGTTTGCCACCATGGTATGCAAATATGAGATGGAAAGAGTTTTATACAAACCCTGAAGTGGGATATAAACAACTTTATGCAGATGACGCGAACACAGGAGTTGACCCAGAATATGTTTTCTACCAGAGGAGAAACAGAATGTATGAGCTCCAGTTAAAGAATGCTATGGAACTCAACAGGAAACGTAAGAGACTAGGCGGACATTAGATTTTTACATATAGTAAAATGGGTTTCTTCAGTAGTATTGGAAACTTCTTCAGAAGAGTTGGAAGAGGTATATGGAATGGAATAAAATCTGTCGGAAGAGGAGTATGGAACGGTGTCAAAAATATTGGTAAAAGAGTAGGTCAGTTCGTTGGTATTATACCTAAAGACCCTGAACCAGAAGAACAAGCTCCTGTTATACAACAGCCTGAACCTGCACCACAGTCTAGTTGGCAACCAAATCCAACACCTCAACCGTATTAAAAAATTATATTTTTACCGTTCGATAGTAGTTGTATATGAAACTAAGTTCTAAGTAAAACGCATGGTATAATGGAATTATTCTCTTTCTTCCATCTGTTGTAAACCATACTTGAAAGTCTGAAATACTTCCACTTGGTGGTTCATATAGCTTTGTAGGTTTTTCGTAAAAGTCATTTGCCAAGCATAAAAAAGAGTTTTGTGCACCAGAAAATGAAGCATGAACTATAATAGCAGCTGGGTCGAAAACATCTTTAAATAAATATGGTTCATCTCTTGCATATCGACTGTAGATATTTGCTAAAGGAAGTTCGACTTTCTGATTTAACATTCTTTGCAAATAATACCATGACATTGCAGTGAATTCTGTATATATTTGTTCGTCTTTCTTTGGATTGTCTTCGTAGATTTGAAATGACACTTGTGAATTTTGTTTGTCATATACAATTCTCACATAAAGTGTGCTCTCGGTATTTGCATATTCATCAGCATATTTTGCATAACATGAATTTATTTTATCTTCTATATTTTTTAACGCAGTCTGTAGAGAAGATGAAAGGTCAACTTGTATTAGCTCAATTTCTTCCCACATTTTTCGTTTCCCTTCAGATATATAATCTATATGAAACCTTACAATAAATGGAAAACTTTTATCTTCTACAGACACAAACTTCATTCTACGAAAGCCAATAGCTTTTGTGACAGATGGGTCTCTTAACCATCTTAACGGGTAGTCAAAACGATAGCCTTCATGCTTTACGGTCTCTGTCTCAAACTTTTGACCGACATTCGTAAAAAGTTCATCTAATGGTTTAGTTGTAGCAACTCTTGAATTTTCTTTTTCTATTGAAAGCATATTTTATCTAGAATAAAAATGTCAAATGAAACAGCGTCTATGAGAGAAATACAACACAACCGACAACTCATTATACAAGCTCTAAATAAGAACACAACAAACTTTTCAAACTATTCTAAGATATCTGAGTCATTGAAAGGGGGTGACTTAAAACTGACAATAAACCCAATGACAGATGAGTTTCTATTTCAAGACAATAAGAACCATACTGTTTGTATAAATCCAACAAAAGGAACTTTAAACGAGAAACCTATATCTGAACTTCTTTTGAAAGCAGATGTTGACAACAAAGCTGACAAAGAATATGTCATTGAAAAAGTTCAAGAAGAACATGACAGAGCAGATGCAACATATGCAACAAAAGAACATACTCATCCTGAACTAGCAGACAAAACATATGTTGACAATAAAATGTCAAGTGAAGTGACAAGAGCTGAAAACGAATATTCTAAAAAGACTCATACACATTCTATATCTGATATTACAAACTTACAAGAAACCTTAGAGACAAAAGCAAATAAGACTCATACACATACCATTGCAAATATTACAAACTTACAAGAAACCTTAAACAGTAAAAGTGACGTTGGACATACACATACAAGTTTTACAACTGTTGCTATAGAAAGTATTGAAGGAACGGTTGAAGAACCTGATGGGGATGTATTATATTGTAAACCTCCTAACTTTCCACAAGGTTTAACATCGGATGACGACATAACGACGATGAGAAACATTAGATGTAAAGATGTTTATGTCATGAAGGATGAAAATAACGTTAAATTCACTGCTCAAGATTTATATGACAAGAAAGCAGACAAGAACCATACACATACAAGTTTTACAACTTTTACAGCAGATGATATTACACTAAACACAACCTTGCCAAGTAAAGCTCCAACAATACCACCGGCAACAAGTCTTGTAGATACTTTGATATCTAATGACAATAGTATTATACATCTAAGACAGGAACTCAATGTGCTTAAACAAATTTTGCCGAATCTTATTTACCCGGTTGGCTCTATTTATACGTCAATGAACTCTACCAGACCAGAAACAGTACTTGGTTTTGGAACTTGGACTCAAATAGTCGACAGGTTTTTGTATTGTGCAAACTCTTCAAAGGAAACAGGTGGAAGTAAAACGATTTCAGGTGAAAATTTACCTGCACACAGTCACTACATAGATTTAAGTACATCTCAAGCAGGTTGGCATAAGCATAATTTTTGGGATTGGTCAGCAATGAAAAAAGGTAAAGGATATGATGTTAAAGACGACGTTCAGTTTGCTATAAATTGTTTCTGGGGTAACACTCAGGGAGATGGAAACCATACACATCGCGTTTCAGGGTATACGCAAACAACGGGACAAAGTAAAGACTACATGCCACCTTACATGACAGTTTACGCATGGTATAGAAATGCTTAGTCGTCATTTTCAACTTCTTTAGCATATTCGTCAGGAGTTGTCTTATATTTGTTAGGAACTGTCTTTGAAAGTATACCACCTTGAACTTTGACAAGTTTGAAACGAGGTCTGACAATAGTAGTTTTATCTTCTGCTTGCAGTCTGTACATTTTGCCATGTTTGCCTAAAACTTCATAATATTCTCTTGTATACTTTCTTCTATTTTTACGAACACGAATGTGAGTACCTGTCGAGTTCCCATTGTTGTCATAGTCAATAGTATTTTCATATGGGTCGCGTTTAGGTATTTCTATTTTTACTTTGTCACCTTTCTGAAGTTTGAAGCCCGGCATTCTTTCTTGTTTGTCTCTTTTGACTAAATTATTAAATATATAGTCTTTCTCTAAGTCAGGGTTGTTTTTCATTTCTTCGGGGGAGTGGTTTCCCAAACCTTTTTGTTTACGGCTATTGTAATATTTAAAACTTGTCTCATCTTTGCCATGGAGAAGTGTCTATATTTGTCGTCATATGACATTTCATTTGCTTCACCACCTTGTGGTTGGTTTAAGTCTCTTAACATTTTTATACAACCGTCAATGACACCAAGAGCAGAATGGTTTTGGTCGACAATGAAATATTGGTTTACATTTTTTGAACGCAGATAGTTTTTAATATCGTCTGATTTGAAAGAACTTTCACAGTCAGATGTCAGTTTTGTTGGATGGTATTTGTCAACGAATATTGTCAAAGCTGCTAAGATATCTAAAATATTTTTGGACTGTAATGGTATGGCTTCACAGTATCTTGTGTTTTGACCGACAAATATTAGCCAGTATGGTGGTCCATCTTCTCTATACCTCGGAATGTTTTCCAAGATATCCATAAACCAAGCATTTGGTGTTGAACTAAAGATTTTTACCATGAGTGCTTTTCTTTGTCGCTTTAGAAACATAGGGGTCCTTGTTTGGATTCGTCATTTTTTACCCTATAAGAAATGGATTTATTTGGCGCGTTAGCAGGAGTTGCATCCAGATTTTTACCCGCAGTGGGAACAATAGCCAGAGGTGTATTTGGAGTTGGAAGGAAGATTTTGAGTACATTAGGTATACTGAAAGAGAAAGCACAACCTATTATACAAACTGTACAGAAAGGTTGGGATGTAGCACGAGATGCAACAAATCTTATTCCAAATCCTGAAACAAGAGGAAAAGTTCAAGGATGGATGGACAATGTAGGAAGACAAGCAGGAAACTATTATAACAAAGCAAATGACTACTATAACCAAGCAGGACACTATATGGACCAAGGTGAAAGATTCTTTAACAGAGGATATAACCATGCACAACAATGGGTAAACAATAACCAACCTCAACCGCCTCAAACGTGGGGAATGTAAAGTTTTTTTACTGAGATGAAATGAACAATACAGCATTGAGACAAATGGGTTCAAGATGGATTTGTCGGCTTCCAGCAGTTACACAACGTGTTTGTCAAGTTCTTCCTATACCTCAGGAAGTTTTAGACCGACTTAAAAAACAAAAACAACCAGTTTGAAAACAAACCAAACTAAAATTTTTTACTGAGATGAAATGACCGAAGAAGTTGAAACGGTAGATTTGACACCACAAACAAAAAGTTCAGAACCATTGTCAAAACCTGTCAAAGAACTTACAGATGAAGAGAAAAATTCAATAAATAGAAAGTGCCAGGTCTGGAATTACAAACCCTAACTACAAAGTCACTTTTCATAAAAATGGAACGGCTAGTATCTCAAAAAAGAAACAGACTCTCACAAATAAAATATTGAAGTCTGAAGGAGCTTTCGAGACAACAGATGGAAAAGTTTACTTCACTGACCAACAGTTCATTATAGAACATCTCATTGACTTAGAGTCGAAATATTCTAAACTTTACAACAAACACAAAAAGTTGAAAGGAAAACAAAAACAAATGGCATATGATATTTATGAAGATGTTGACGACACAACTGTTCCTGCAAGTGAAGTAAAGTCAGAGGAACCGAAAAGTGACGAAAAACCGATAGAAGAAGAAAAAAAAAAACTGAAGATAAACCAAAACCAAAGTTTAGTTTCCAAACTAAACCAAGTCAACCTTCATTAGCTGGTATGGGTTGGCGTCAAAGACTTATGGCAGCAGGCGGTTATGTAAAGTAAAGAAAAAAATATTTTTTTATTTTTATAAAAATGCCCCCATATAGAATGGATAGAAAATCTGCTAGAATAAAAGCAGAGTTGCAAAGTTATGGTTGGAGAGTTTCGAAGAAGTTTAAATATAGGAAGGGAAGACCCATAAAAGTCTATGACAAATTGTCTGGTCTTCGCTACGAAATGGATTTGGAAACAGCACGTGCAAATTATCCAAACAGACTAGAGAGGTTAGAAGAAGAACGTCTTATGGACATGCCTTTCGATGTTAGTGAACCTCAAGTTGAAGGACACGACGGCTTTGCCAGATTCTATTGGAAACATGACGAACAATTGCATCCTTTGAGAAGGAAAAAAGGAAAAGGTGAAGACACACATGCTCCCATGGAAAGAACAAGATATGCATATGAGAAGTACGTGAAGTTAGAAAGTCAAATTACTTCTGGTCGAACCTTTACAGTAAACTTTGACGAAGGAAAGAACAAAGAAGGCTTCATGGGTGTACTTGCTGCCATACAAGACGGAAATAAGAAAGGACACAATCTCAGATTGACCATAACAGATTTGGATGGTCACATTTACTATGCACATGGCAATGAACAAACAGCCGCAAAACTTCTTGACGCTTTCAAGACTACAAAGAGAGAACAAATGGTTGACTCCGACTCAGACATTTTGAATGCAATTGAAGGAATTGCAAGTGTCAAGTTCGAATAGTACCAACCTAACCCTCAAGAAGTCAGACAACATGTTTGTTAGATGAGAAATATGAAATTGCATGAAGTAAAAACGTTTTTTAAACCATATATTTTTACATATATTAAATGCTTCAGGTTGAAAAACAAAGAACAAAAGTAGCAGATACAAAACCGTTAGACTATATCTTTACAAATGCTGGTAGGACTATTTCAGATGAAGAAATTTCATCCGAGCATACAGGTTTGACTATCCAATTCGTTGGCTTCAAAGTCCTTCAGATGCAAAGGCAATAGGATTTAGAAGAGTTTTGTTTTCAAATAGAACTAACGCATTTATGTTCGCAGTATATTTTCATGGGCAGTATAAAGGTTCTGATGGTCTAATAGACAAATTTGATGAAATGAGAATCTTTACAGTTCGTTCAGACGAAAGTCTTGAGAAAACTCTAAATGACTTTCAAACTCAAATGAACAAATACTATTGGGAATTTCAAGAAAAATACGACTCTTTACTAAATGGAACATACTATCTGAAACTAGAATATGACAAGATGAACTCCACCGTTTCATTTCAAAAGATTGAAATTAACCCTCAAGAGATACAGAGTTTTATTTTGGAAAGTAGACAAACGTTCTTGGGCACAATTTCTTCGGTTACTAAACCAGAACGAACCATTACCGCCAGATGGTCCATTTAAATTTATACATCCACCAGCAGATTTGACAGTTTATAGAAACGTGTTTGACCCTCAAAATGTTATGTGTCATGCAAGTTTCAGTTCAAGCAACAATAGTTTTCTATGTATTGGTAAGGACGTTTATGACTTTGCTTCTAAATTCTACGAACCACCTAGTAACAGTTTCTCTGACTTTCAAGTTTGGTTCACAACAAATGGTGTGCAGCATATTATACCATTGTACTATGACTTTTATCTCGAATTGTCTTTCATATATAACTACGGAAAAGTGCTGAAAAAGTATTGAAAAATATATTTTAGGTGAAGAGGTGAGATCTCACCTGTTTTCTCACCTCTTTTCTCACCCTCTTGAATTTTCATGAATTTCCTTAAGATAGAAAAAAAGTGAGTTAAAATTGAGATGTTTACTGAGGGGTCCCTCGGTCCTCGGTCAACTAACATCTTTTTGAAAATGGTGACAACATGACATTTTGACAACAGTCGGGAAAATGTCAAGACTTCTTCATCGTAACGAGTGTAAATGAACCAAAAATATATTTTAGGTGAAGAGGTGAGATCTCACCTGTTTTCTCACCTCTTTTCTAACATCGTAGAAAACTCATGAAATTTCCCGAAATAAAAAATAAAGTTAGTTTTTTTAAAAAAATATTTTTTATTTTTATTGTAAGAACAGAAATGTCAGTCGAAGCAAAAACGTTCACGAACAAATCTAATGGCGAAACATTCACAAAAGGCACTTACAACGGTATTGAAGTCTTACGTAGAGACAAGGATGGTTATATAAATGTAACAAATATGTGTCAGCAGTTTAGGAAAGACTTTAGAAAGTTGTTGGAAAATAAGTCCTGGGAAGAGTATTATAAGGCATTTTGTGAAGAATATAGCAACCGCCGGAATTCCGGCGGTTGGTTTTTATACAAAATTCATGCAGGAATTCCAGATGAAATCAAACAGGTTAGAGGAACGTATGTAGACCCAAGACTTATAAACTATATAGCAATGTGGGCTTCTCCAAAATATTGCATAGCAGTTGGAAAAATTATGGACTCCATAGACAAGAAAGTTCATGAGAAATTAGATGAAGAAGAACTTGAAGATACAGTAGAGAATGCTAAACCTTTGTTCGAACAAGAAGTTAGAAAAATGTGCGAAAAACAATTTGAACATGAACGTGAGATATGTTATGGTTATAGAGATTCTCCATACGAACTAGACCAATGGGAACAAGAAGATTTAAAGAGAGAATTTAGAGAATATGAACTCGCTAAGATAGCATTAGAAGCTGCAGAAAAGAAGTTAAAAGTTTGGGGTCGTTTTGTAAAAAAATATTGTGAGTAAATGAACCATTTATTTTTATTGAATTCAGCAAAAATATATTTTAGGGTAGAAGGTTAGATCTAACCTGTTTTCTAACCTGTTTTCTAACATCGTAGAAAACTCATGAAATTTACACCAAAAAT